AAGTTTAAACAATAAAATCAGATGTTTCAACAAAATATTATATCCAGTGACATATTTTTCTCAGTCGTCGAAATGAGATAGCAGTCTCTCGACTCTCGGGCTGAGACATATTACTCCGACACATCTGGTCAACCGGACACACGCAGGCCACCCGGACACATGCAGGCCACCCGGACACATGCAGGCCACCCGGACACATGCAAGCCACCAGGACACATGCAGGCCACCCGGACACATGCAGGCCACCCGGACACATGCAGGCCACCCGGACACATGCAAGCCACCCGGACACATGTAGGCCACCCGGACACATGCAGGCCACCCGGACACATGCAAGCCACCCGGACACATGCAGGCCACCCGGACACATGCAGGCCACCCGGACACATGCAAGCCACCCGGACACATGCAGGCCACCCGGACACATGCAGGCCACCCGGACACATGCAGGCCACCCGGACACATGAAAATGTGTCGAACCTCGGCGCCATCTATGAACCGAGTTCCAAATTATGACAGTTTACCCTTCCATTATTATTGTTTACCATCTTCTATTCTGCTTTTCTGGGAGGTGATAAGGTACCGGAGGAGTGGAGCAGTACACTAGTCGACCTTTGGGACGCCTCTACGTGTGTGTGTTAGTGAGAGGGCTAGTGGCCCGCTGGGAGACCTCACTGTCTGAGAGGGCTAGTGGTGCGCTGGGAGACCTCACTGTCTGAGAGGGCTAGTGGTGCGCTGGGAGACCTCACTGTCTGAGAGGGCTAGTGGCCCGCTGGGAGACCTCACTGTCTGAGAGGGCTAGTGAGAGGGCTAGTGGTGCGCTGGGAGACCTCACTGTCTCAGCGTGCACAAACATGTTGGCCATCCTGAGACAGTCACTCCGATACACAAGACAAATTCTTAGAATTTCTCTAGTACCACTGACCACCGTCCTGAAGGGGGACAGTGACAAATTCTTAGAATTTCTCTAGTACCACTGACCACCGTCCTGAAGGGGGACAGTGAAATTAAACAATAAATATATAGAAAAACGCCATAAATAATACTAAAAATCAGATGCTCTCTGAGCGATGCCAAAATGAGCTATCAATTTTGCGTGTCTTACGACTGGGAAAAAAAAATTACATCCTTAGTTCCTTAAAGATGCAAAATGTATCATCAGTGTCTTCTAAGTAACCTAATTTTAGTTCCGTGTCAGGCGATTTTGACGTAAGTAAAACAGTATCGACGTATCTGTGTCGTCCCTCAGTCGTAATTACCGTCGCGTGCGTGGTGTTGTACTCATGAGTCAGGGGTAATGAGTGGTGGTGGTAGTTAGTAATCCAATTATGAGGCATAAATCAACATCAACCATAATGCTTACAGCTAAAGTAGGTTTTTTAAGACATGCAGTTCAGAATGATTTTTAATTATGTCATAAATAGCCGGAAGTGACTGCTGGTGCTCATCATGCTCTTCTGAGACTGTATGTTCATCGTGTTCTTCTGAGACTGTACGTTCATCGTGTTCTTCTGAGACTGTATGTTCATCGTGTTCTTCTGAGACTGTATGTTCATCGTGTTCTTCTGAGACTGTATGTTCATCGTGTTCTTCTGGGACTGTATGTTCATCGTGTTCTTCTGAGACTGTATGTTCATCATGTTCTTCTGAGACTGTATGTTCATCGTGTTCTTCTGAG